TTTCTTATAGAGTGCAGAATTCATGGTTTCATCAATTATGGCAAGTCGTCCAGGTCCTGAAGCTGCAAAACAGCCTCAGACCATCACACTACCACCACCATGTTTGACTGCTGGTATGATGTTCTTTTTATGAAAGCTGTGTTGGATTTACGCCAAATGTAACGGGACACACACCTTCCATAAAGTTCAAATTTTGTCTCATCAGTCCACAGAATATTTGCCCAAAAGTCTTGGGGATAATCAAGATATCTTTTGGCAAATGAGAGACGAGCCTTTGTGTTCTTTTTGGTCAGCAGTGGCTTTTGCCTTGGAACTCTCCCATGGATGCCGTTTTTGCCCAGTCTCTTTCTTATTGTTGAATCATGAACACTGAGCTTAATTGAGGCAAGTGAGGCCTGCAGTTCTTTAGATGTTGTTCTGGGTTCTTTTATGACCTGGATGAGTCGTCGTTGTGCTCTTGGAGTAATTTTGGTTGGCCGGCAACTCCTGGGAAGGTTCACCGCTGTTCCAAACTTTCTCCATTTGTGGTTCGCTGGAGTCCCAAAGCCTTAGAAATGGCTTTATAATCCTTTCCAGACTGATACATGTCAACTGTTTTGTTTCTCATCTGTTCTTGAATTTCTTTAGATCGTGGCATGATGTGTTGCTCTTTAAGCATGCTTCACTTTGTCAGACAGGTTCTATTTAAGTGATTTCTTGATTCAACAGGCCTGCGTGTGGCTAGTGAAATTTAACCCAGCTTTCTAAAATAATGTGGTTAATTGCAGTTCTTTCATGATTTAATATTTAATATTTACATTTTGTATTTACTTGCATTATCTTTGTGTAATATTTAAATTTGTTTGATGATCTGAAACATTAAATTGTGACAAACATGCAAAAAAAAAAAGAAATCAGGAAGGGGGCCAACAATTTTTCACACCACTTTATATATATATTAGGCTAACCGAGACTTGTCATTTGCACTTATATATTGTTGCTCTTTTGTTAGTTTTGACTGCTTTTATTGTCCTCATTTGTAAGTCGCTTTGGATAAAAGCGTCTGATAAATGACTAAATAAATAAATAAATATATACACACACACACACACACATATGTATGGTATACACTTATGGTATGCAGCATCCATTATATAATATTTATATAATCTTTTCATTTGAAAGATTTATGCCAGCCTAGTACTATAAATATGCAGTATTCATTATAAAAGTGCTTGCACTTTACAATAAAGTTCTACTTGTTAACATTAGTTAACTGCATAAGCTTGAATGAACTAACATTGAAAAATAGATATAATGAAAAATTAAATAAAGTATTTCATAATCTATTCATTTTCATATAATGTCAATTTCAGTTGTAATAATTTGACTATTCATTGTTAGTTCATGTTCAGGTCCAATAAATAATATTAACAGATAAAAATTTTGATTTTAATAATGTATTGTTCAATTGTTAGACTCTTGTTGAAGTGCTTCATGGCGACTGTGATCTCAAAAGGCTATTAGTGTGTTTTTTGTGTTTATTAACTAACATGATAATTTTTAGTTAGTTAACTAATGTTAACTAATGGAACCTTATTGTAGAGTGTTACCATAAAAATATACCCGAAGAACTTCTACGTTAAGCTACACAGATTTTCCAGAATTTTTAGTTAAAAGTAAATGTTTAAAAAGATACACACTTACATGAGATGAAGACTAAAATCAGTGGCCTACAAAAAGCCATTTAATTTTTGTCAAAAGTGGACGCTTTATGGTGGCGGCCATGTTGAGATCACATGACCAGCTGAATAATAAATTGCTATTATGTTTTAAAAACAGTTTGGTAGGATGTGTTGTTCAAGAAGATGAATAAAAGCTACTAAAACACATAGACAATGCCTTCTTGTTGTTTTTTAATTGAGGATTGTGCATATAGTGCAGTCTAATTCTGGACTTGACAAGATCTGGGTTTTAAGAAACCAGTCCAGAACTTTGTTTTAGTTTCACAACATCTAACATACATGCATGTCTTCCCTCAGGTCCTGTTTATCGGCGACTCCACCAATCGAGGGATGATGTACTACCTAATGGAGAGGGTGAACACTACTCTGGAGGACTGGGACAAGGCTCACGACACCATTGTCTACCACAACCTGAATCAGGGCCGAACTATCGTTAGCTACTCCTACTACCCACAATTCTGGCTGCCGAAGGCTCAGAGACCCACTTTCCAAAGAGCTCTGCAGCAGCTTCTAGAAAGGTCTGTGTATGTGCATGTTGGATGATATTTGTCTCCATGTGGCTGTGGATTACACCCATTAAGCTGTGAATGTGCGGGTTTGGTGTCGGTCTTAAGTGGCAAAGGCCTTGTTAACACACTGAATGACTTTGGCAGTGTGTTTGATGGTGGGATGTGGGCTGCGTGTGGTTGGGCGGCTGTGTGTCAGATCAGAGTATGTCAGCAGGGATGGTAACCGCTGCTGGCTCAGCACGCCGTTGATCTCACACAGCTACTGATGTGGGCAGAGGGGTGGGATATGCAGCACAGATGTGATTGTGTGTGTGTGTGTTATAGTGTGTATCTGTTGAGGACATGTGTCTTGGGAGCTGCCTGAGTGATCTGAGACAACACACAAAAAATAGCAGAACAACAGATTTTAAAATTGATGATAATAACAAATGTTTCTTGAGCAGCAAATCAGCATATTAGAATGATTTCTGAAAACTGGAGTAATGATGTTGAAAATTGCATCACAGGAATAAATTACATTTTATAATATTTTAAAATGGAAAAAATTTAATTTGTAATAATATTTCACAATATTACTGTTTTTACTGTATTTTTTTTATCAGATACTGTAAGCCTTGGTGAACATAAGAGGCTTCTTTCCAAAACATTACATACCCCGTACTTAATAAGCAGAGTATTGTTTGGTTTAAGTGGTACAAAACTAAACAGTTTGCCATTTTATAATATTTTAAAATGGAAAAAATTTAATTTGTAATAATATTTCACAATATTACTGTTTTTACTGTATTTTTTATCAGATACTGTAAGCCTTGGTGAACATAAGAGGCTTCTTTCCAAAACATTACATACCCCGTACTTAATAAGCAGAGTATTGTTTGGTTTAAGTGGTACAAAACTAAACAGTTTATAATTTTGGGTACATATTTCAACTTGAAATTAATGGTCATGCTATGGATTGTTGATTATGTCTTCAGTATGTACTGTTGATCTTTAACCTCTTCTCTGAAACCACTTCCACGGGACAGGTCACAACCCCTGCAGAACTCGCCTCAGACAGTGCTGGTCGCTGGTGGGGTGCAGTGGCTGAACCTGAACCATTTGAGGACCATTCAGCAGGTTTTAGAGAGGTAAACACGTTCTCAAATGCAACACAAACCCAGCTTGTTCATTATTAGCTTGACTTAACCACATTTTAATTAGCAATGTGCTAATGGCAAAGGCTTTTCTTTCTTTTTAAGGATGCTGGTTTTGTTTTATGTAGTTTGCTGCCAATCTTTCTAAGTGGCTTTGGATGTTTAACATCATATCTCTAACTTATCTCCAAGGGAGGGTCTTGAGAAAATCGTGGTGGTGGTGAAGTCTTTAGGAATGGGTTTCCATCTGCCTGTGGATGGTATTCGCTCCCTTCTACTGGTAAGAACCACTGGTGATCACAAAATGTCCTGTAGACCAGATGTTCTACTTTTTCAACTTCCTTTATTGACATCTATAAACTTGTCAGACTTTGTCATCTTCATTCATTGGTTCTAGAATGGAGTGCAAGAACTCTATAATGTGAACAAAAATATTCTGGAAAGTGCCAAGCATCTTGGATATGAGGTCATTGACACTCTCAGCGTCACCATGGGTCGTTATAAGGAGTTCCTGCAAGGACAATGTGCCTGCCATTTCCATGAGGTAAAAGAACAAAAATATATATTATTTACATTTGACTTTTATTCAGCAAGGACCCATTAAATTGATCAAAAGTGACAATTAAATACAAAATTTTGCAAAAGATTTCAAATAAACACTGTTCGTTTAAACTTTCTATTCATTAAAGAATCCTCATTGTTTCCACAAAAAGCACAGCTGTTTTCAACATTGATAATGATATATGATATAATGACATATTATGACGATTTCTGAAGAATCATGTGACTGAATATTGAAGTAATGCCAACACAGGGAACAAAATCCATTTTAAAATATATTATAGTAAAATCTATAGTAAAAAGCTTTTTGTAGTCATATATTAATCTTTTTATGGTTAAAAGTTACTTTAAATTGTAAAAAAAAATTCCCTGTTTTACTGTATTTTTAATTAAATAAATGCAGACTTTCAGAACAAACATTATCAAATCTTTTGAATGATAGTGTACATAGTTATTCTCGTTACATTATCTTTACTAGATTCTCATTAATACAGTAAAAATGCATCACAATTATTTATTTATGTACTTATGCTGATTAGAAGACCTACCTCGTGTAAATACTTTTTATTAATTTAAATACTATATCATGTATCATATACAGTGTACTCACTAATGCTGCATTTAAGTAGAAATACAGTAAAAACGGTAATATTGGTAAATATTATTGCAATTTATTTTGATTGATAAACAGAGAATCACTGTTTCAGAGTTCTCATCCAACAGTCCACAAAACATACAAAGCCAAAGAACATGATTTATTTTAATAACCATGTTGTTGAACCATGGCCTCTGTGCTAATTTTGTGAAATTTGTATCTGTAATTATATTATTATGGGTGTAATTTACTACACAGAAGGCATATCTGATTAACTTTGTATTTTTAGATCCACACATCCATGTGTGCGAATGAAACCGTTCTACTTTTCATATACATGGATATAGATCCAGCTAGAAACACATTTCCAGCCTTCCAGCCCCATAAATCTTTTAAAAGAGAAGCCATTCTTTTTTTTACTTCACCCTAAAAGTGCCTGGCAGATCAGTTAATGAGTAATTAGCAATTAGGCAGGTTTTTATTAGCCAATAAAGGGCAGGCTGGGAACAGATGTATTAGCTTGCTAAGTGTGTGAAGTGGTGGTAGAAATGCCAAACCTGCTCACATATGGGACTGATATCACTGTAGAGCGGCCACATCTGACAACAGGCCAGCAGATTGAGACCTACCCATACATAAAATCGGGATCTTTTGCTCATGTTGCTTATTTTTTGATACGTTTACGATATTTTTGTTGTTTAGTGTTCGGAGGAAACAAGCTCTTAACCATTAAGTATTTTGTAGAGCAGGGAGCTAATAAGAATTGGCAATTTAAGAGGATATAAAACTGAAATGGGATAAAGGCTAGATCCCTAATTTTAAAAATGTGTCACACGTCAGAGAACAGAACCACACACAGACAGACATAATGTTATTTGCTTACAAGATTGATCGCCAAACCTGCTCACATATGGGACTGATATCACTGTAGAGCGGCCACATCTGACAACAGGCCAGCAGATTGAGACCTACCCATACATAAAATCGGGATCTTTTGCTCATGTTGCTTATTTTTTTGATATGTTTACGATATTTTTGTTGTTTAGTGTTCGGAGGAAACAAGCTCTTAACCATTAAGTATTTTGTAGAGCAGGGAGCTAATAAGAATAGGCAATTTAAGAGGATATAAAACTGAAATGGGATAAAGGCTAGATCCCTAATTTTAAAAATGTGTCACACGTCAGAGAACAGAACCACACACAGACAGACATAATGTTATTTGCTTACAAGATTGATTTTTATACTGTTTTGATGGTAAACATTTTTATATTGTTGCTGGGTTTACTCTAAATTGCTGGAATGCATGATGTTTCATTTGTCCATAATTTACGTTAAACATGAAATGGTTTGTGGAGAGAGAAAATTTGTATTATTTGAAATATCACATAAAACTTATCTTCCCACCTGAGCTCAGTATGGGCACGAACACTATTTCCACGTGAAATGAAACCATGTGTTGACCTGTAAATATTCCACAGCAAGTGATAACTCTCTTTTTAATGTCAGAATTTATTGTCAAATGTTTTGGATGTTTATGAAGAGCTATAGCCTACCAAGATATGTGTCTATGCCTGTGCATGAAATGTATGATTCCAACAATCATCATGAATGTCACTTATCCTGAACAATTAAAAATATATATTTTCGTAATTTAAAACACATGGCTTCTTGAACTTATCAAAAGTTTTTCTTACATTTAATTTGATTGAACCATTTCAATTAGTCATATTTTAATGACATACTGTGTAGTTCATACAAGCAGATTTTTTTAGTATATTAGATTAAGCAGTTTTAACAACTTTTCCCCCCTTTTTGTACCTCTTCATCCACATCAAATCAAAAATGTGTTGCTTATAGTCATTACGAAAAACATCATTATAAAAGTTGATTATCAATAGCTGTGGGTTTTTGCTCATTTATAAAGCTGCATTTGCATTTCATAAAACATTTTTTCTCAACTGAAATGTTTAATTAATATTTAGTTGTTGTAATTATATCTGGTTAAGCTAAATCGAAATACCTTTTTAAAAGTGTAGATCGAAATTAAATGAAATACCAATATTCTGTAACTTTACAAGTCAGTCACGGAAAAAATATACATATAAAAAAAAATCTGAAGTAACATTTCAGTAATGAAAAAATATACGTTAGGAAGAGCGCGCATTTTCACCTGACGCTGCAGGTAACCATAACAACAGTACGTCTCACGCGGGCTCTTAATAAAGAGCATTTGTGGCGGTCATATGTCGATGAAGAGTGAGTCGGTATCACTTTATTATTTCTTAAAACAAATGTACATGTCACAAAACGTAAAGTTTTACTTTATACGTGCAATTAACTCTGCGTTAGTGGTTCCAAAGAACAAACTGCGTTGCGAGCGACAATCTTTAACATTTAAGTTAACTTGCTCTAGCCTACTTAACAATTTGTTGGACATTTAAAAGTATTACATTTTCCAGTTCTTTTTTTAGAAAAGTCGACGTCTTTGAAAGTTATTGTATAATGTGAACACCGTCTGTCTCTCTCTTTCTCCGTGTGTATGTGTGCACTTAAGTAAGTTACTATTAGTTAAACAACGTTTTTGCTTTTAAATGTATTACTATGCCCAGTCTAACCGTCTTTCTCTATTGTCCTGCCTTTTATTTTAATCTTGGTTTCAAAATATATGTTAAACACTAAGTTAAAATGCTCCGTTAAACATTCAAGTCCTTTTTATCCGTAGCACAGTTCTTCTAATCTCACAAAACCCCGACTGAGCTGCTGAAGTGACCGATTCTTTCTGCCCATCCATCAGTCGCTCGCTTTGTGCTCCCTCTCTCACCGGCCAACCCAAGATCTGTCTGTCCAATCAGTGTTGAGAACGGTCCTATCTGATGAATATTAATGAACGGTTCGACCAATCACGACGTGGGAGCATTTCACAGGAAAGTGTTTAGTTGCGCGTTTCTCAACAGCGGCATATAACAGTTTGTGTCTTTTTGAGTTCGTACCGATGGCGAAGGTGACTTGTTGGTGGTTGGATGTTTGTGTTCGTACCTGCAATGTAATGGATACTTAAAAGGGACATTTATGAATTTAAAAGCGCCGTTTGTGGATTAACATAACGCTAGATTGTCTATTAGATATAGTGGACCGGTATGAGTCGTCTTTGTCCAAACGTTCAGGTCGGGACTTGTTAAATGTAGCGGACATGGATAAAACCGGTTATGGGATACATGCAGTTTACCATCTATTCCTTCTGTGGCTCTCAGTTTGCCCTCTGTGCTCTCAGGGAAGTTGGATGTAAGTATTTTAAGTGCTATGTTGCTTTCCAGTCAATTCATGTTTGAATAAAAATGTTTGAAAATTGTCTCCTTTTCCTCGGGCCTGGTTATGGCATTTCAATCCAGGCCGACAGGAGAGGAGAACCGCTTCTGATATTTGTGTCACACTACTCCGCATCACAGGTGGTTGGGCATCACATCTGTAGGAGTGCACGAGAAGTTGGGTTGCGCGCATTTGCCCCTGTCTCACAAGCAGAAGGAGCTGTGCGCGCGCAAACCGCATCTTCTACCGAGCATTAAAGAGGGCGCGCGCCTGGGCATCACCGAGTGCCAAACGCAGTTCAAACACGAGCGCTGGAACTGCTCGACCCGACGGGACCCCAACCTGTTCGGCTACGAGCTCACCAGTGGTATGCATGCAACCTGTCATACTGAAATGTGACCCTGGACCACAAAACCAGAAATAAGGGTCCATTTTCTTTTTCAATTGAGATATTTACATCAACTGAAAGCGACATAAATAAGCTGATGTATGGTTTGTTAGGATAGGACAATATTTGGCTGAGATACAAGTATTTGAAAATCTGGAATCTGAGGGTGCAAAAAACAAAACATTCAAAATATTGAGAAAATCGCCTTTAAAGTTGTCCAGATGAAGTTCTTAGCTATGCATATTACTGATCAAAAATTAAGTTTTGATATATTTATGGCAGGAAATTGACAAAATATCTTCATGGAACATGATCTTTACTTAATAATCTATAATTTTGACCCATACAATGTATTTTTGGCTATTGCTACAAATGATGATTATGATTAGTTTTGTGGTCCAGGGTCACAAATAGACTTCATTTGAATGTGCTTGAACTTTATAATCCTGTTTTTTTCCCCCCCTTTGGTTCATTGTATTAATGAAAGTTAGTAGTAAAGTTTAACCGACACGATTGAATAATCATGAGACGAAAAATATTACAAATTAGGGTGGTAATACTGTCTGATAGTTTTCATTAAAAAAAAAAGCAATGAATGTCATTTATCAAATTGTGATTCACAGAAGCTGAACAAAGACTTAAGACTTATTTTAAGAAGTGCTGTGTATGGTTAGAAAAAAAAAAGGTTAAATTATTTCTTTGGTGTGCAATATTAGTTTCATAGAGCAGGCTGTTCACCTTCAGAAGTTGGTAATTATGATACTATGTCTAAAAGAAGAAAGTTATTTAAAAACTATATGCATATATAAGTAAAAATATATGCATATATGTGGTTATTGGACAGTTCAACAAAATTAATCAAGAAAAAACAAGTCTGCCATTCTGTAATATATAATGAGGGATCATCAATTTGTAATTGCTTAAAGAATCTAAATGTTTTTAATCGACTGTGAATCCTATTTTTGACCCCTTAATAACTGTTTTGATTTAAAATGTTTATGGAAAAGATGATTTGATTCTTGGAACAGCTCTGACACACATCTGTTTTAGGTTAACCATCTCTATACTAAATTTGCTATGGTCTTTATCTGGCCCTGAATTGAATGCATGCAGGATTAGCGTGAGTACAAAATAAAGAGTCAAACTGAAATGGTAGAACTTGTTTCTTGATTTTGTGAATCCATTTCTAAGATTTGCCCAAAGTTTCTCTTCCAGAGCAGTTCAATTCGAAGCTCGATTCAAGGGCAAACTGAATTTGATATACTGTACTTCTGATTTAATGCTGCCACAACCAAGGAATTTTATAGGCATCTCGCTATTGTGTCTAAAAAATGCACCATTTAGATTTACTATAAGAAATGAAAGAGTTTATGAATCTATTCTATTCCAGTTTTTTAGGTTTCTTGCTTTAAATGTTTAGGTCACCTCTCTTGAAAGTAATTGAAAAAGAAAGAAAAAATCAGAGTAGTCAGATATTTTTGAGAGTAAATAAGACAAAATCAACGTAAAAGTTAAAACATTATAAACCAAATGTAATAAAAAATTAGCTTTATTATAAATATTATGTTATATAAGCTATTAAAATGATTTTTAATAGCTTATATAACATATATATTTCTTTCTAGAAACTGTATGTGTAACTTTATGACTAGATTTGATTAGAGCCTAGATTAGAACTAGTTTGCTCCAATTAAAACTTAAGCTGCATAGTGATTTTTATTAGGATCTGCAATTCAATTTATATATTTATTGTAAATAACATTTAATCAGAACTTCAGAAATGTACAGACCCATTTGCTTAATGTATAAAATGGTCACTTTAAAAAACAATTCATTTAAGTTAAAAGGATGTTAAGAATTTTTACAACATCATCTGTTCTCACAATAAAAAAGAAATTCCATCAGCCAAAAATATTTGCTCATTTTTATAGCGTGATATCACTGTTTCTCTGCATGAATACAGGTAACATTCCCAGGCTCTTCTGCTCTGATACTGCTGCACTGAGACCCTTCTCACAAATGTCCTGCTGTG